TTTTAAAAAAAAAGTTATACTCACCGAAGCTCCGAGCCAGCTTTTTGTTAGACTAGTCCTTCCAGTGCATCTCCCCCTCTGCAGTGGTCTAAGGTCCCATAAGTCATCAATGTCTATACACAGTGTATAGAAGTGAGGACGCTGAGGAAGATTCCAATGCTGCTGCTGAGGAGAAAGGCTGGAGGGAATGCTGTGACAGCTGGCCAGCTTGGAGCTTCGGTTGAGTATATCTTTGTTTTTTTCCTCCCTTGACACAAATCAGCACTTAACCTTTGCAGTACGGTAGTAGCTGAACTGCAAAAGTTATTAAAATTTATTCCTGGATGTCTTCTTTAAAACCTGTGAGCCCTCCAATTAGTATCAATGTGCAGGTTTACATAGGGTGTAACCTTTACATTGTTCTCGCTTCCCTATATCTAGCTCCATTTCATCATGAGGAAATTTCCCTTCAAGGTCTAGATGTGATTTAAGCTGTTCTGTTTTACCGCTTTCAAAAATACTGATTCCTTTTTGTCCTTCCTGGTGGCCCCAGAAGGGTTCCCTGGATTCTTGTTCCACTAACTGTAGATGGTTCAGAAAAAACATCATTCAAGCTTATGGGCTTGTGGTTGTCGTCCCCCCACCCCCAAATCCTGTTAAGCCTCACCCCACCAGGACGTCAAGCGCGTGTTATGATTTTTGGCATCAGGCCTTTGGTTCTCAGATTTCCAAAGTTGCCTCCTAGTCTCCTGGTCTTCTGTTTACACGTTCTTTATGTTCTGTTTACACCTTCTTTGTTTTACCAAGTGGATGTTTCTGCCTCATCCGAAACCAACTTCAGGCGTACGGTCCTTTTTAGATGTTGGGCATGTGAGTGTTTGCTGTATTGCCCACCCCCTAATTGAACTGCAGTTAGACATCCCGAAGGTTTAAAGGCAAAATTAACCTTTTTATAAAAATATAAAAAAACATTTTTTTGCATTGAAGCCTGTAAAATATTGCAATCGCGATCAGTGGATCAGGGGGGGAAATCCTCTGGCAGATTCCTTTTCCGTCCATGTCTGTACCTCACTGCATACATTCAGTAACATGGATGGGAGAAAAACTGAATGGAATACAAGTGCGGTGACATCATGGCACTTGTATTCTATTAAAAAATACAAGTCCCTTTGCTGCATTGGCTAATGTGACTTGTAGTTTCTCCATTCAAAGCATCTGTAAATGGACTTTACTGTGAGTACAAAAATCCTGTGTTTTCCTCACCTGTTGAGGGACACAGGAAGTCTTAAAATCTAAGTTTACGTTTCTGACCATGTTTCATGTTACACCCATAGTCAGGGTGTGCCTTGAGAGATGGTCACATTGCAAACCCCCTATCCACTTAGTTAAATTGTGGGGTTCTTCTCCCCGCAGGCTGGTGTTGTTTTTCTAATCAGATACAACTGTGCAAGCTGAGCCGCGCCGAATAGCAGTATTCAAGTAATTGAACAGGCAAACTATTAATGTTTTTAGAGAGAGCATGCATTTTTCTTTCAGTACAGTATAAGACATAAGAGCTGTAACATAAGCAAGTAGTATAGAAGACATATATGACGTTCTAAAAACAAAGTAAGGGCACCCCTAAGAGCAACCAGGCAACCACTTTCTGTCATCAGCCCACTGAAACCTAAGATTTGTTTAGTTGGCTGAGAGTACACTCTTTTTTTTTTTTTTTTTTTATAGGTCTTATTTTTTTCATTTCCTAGCAACAGTAACTGAACTAGGTGGAATATAGTAGGCATTAGAACAGATTCATAAATGTGTGTAATAAATTTTTTTATTATTATGCTGTTAAAATATACCTGCTTGAAACTAACAGCTATATTTAGAATTATGCTATTGCCATATATTTAAGAGTTGTCTATTTAAACAAACTGTGATGCCTTTTAACGTTATGACAGTGCACATACGTAGAGAGATAATATGTGCTATTGTATAATGTGTGCTTATCTAGTTTTCTTTCCTTCAAAAGATGCACCTGCAAAAACTGGAGTCTCTGCACAATCCGCAGCAGATCTACTTTCGCCAAGACGTATTATGTGAAACTCTAGCTGGAAATGGATGCCCAGTAGTCACCATAACAGCTATGCCAGAGTCCAATTACTATGAACATGTCTATCAGTTCCGTGAGTAGGAATAGTCTGAGAAACAATTTTATGTGTGTTCATCCATCATTCTGGAGATCACGTTTCACTTATATAGAATTTTCCTTTAAGGCTACAGGCCATTTTCCTTGTTGATAGTAGAGCTTCAGAAAACTAATGACGGATCTTTTAATTGAGTTAAAATGCATTATGCAGCTTCTGTGAACTCTTAATTTACAGTAATGTCTAATGGCTATTACAAAGAAATTCTAGAACACTCAAGAGCTTGAATTTAAAATAATATTGAAACTCTGAAGGAGGTGGTCTGTTCTAATGTTTAACAGCTGATTCTGTGCAAAGGGGCAGATGTATAAGACACCGAATACTCATGTGAAATTCAAGCCAAGGCTTCTTTTGCCACTCCAACCAAAGATGACCATATGCCATATTGATGTAGAAAAGATATTACTAAAATATTAGGTGAAACGTTAGGTGCAGTCCTAGGCAGGGCTGTAGTGTGCTTTGTCCAGGTTTAATAATGTTGCATGAGTCAATTTAAAGGGTTTCAAACATTTGTTTTAATCATGGATGCCTTGATGGAGTATGGATTTTGTATTATAAAACAAGGCCAGGTTGGAGCACTGTACACAAAGTGCAAGTTCACCCACCGTAGGCGACTAGATAAATATTAAAGGGACATTAAACCCTCAGATTTTTTAACATAAACCAATACTGTAATGTGTGCCTTACTGTAATATGGTTGTTTCCCTTCTCTTTGCTGCTCTTCCTTTTAAATCCTCATGTCTTCTCATGCTTGGGGAGAACTTCCCTTTGCAGCTGAGTGCCTCTTCCTGTAGTGCTGGCTCAGGTTGTGAACCTACACACAGACACCATGTATCCATTTCAGAGACAAGGCAGTCTGCTGCAAAACAGAAGTTCTCCCCCAGCATGAGAACAGATACAGACTTAAAAGGAAGAGCAGCAAAGAGAAGGGAAACTACCATGGATTACAGTAAGGTACACATTACAGTATTGTTTTATGTTAAAAAATCTGAGGGTTTAATGTCACTTGAAGGCTATGCATGATCATATGGAATATTACTTAATTTTATCTGATGGGAAATCTTTGCATGTCATCATAATCGGCTAACCTCAGCAAGTATATTATATTATTATTCAGGATTTATATAGCACCAGCAGATTATGAAGCAGTTTACAAAACAAAGGGAGACAGTAGTTACAATACAATGAGGATTAGGAGGGCACTCGCAAGAGCTTACAAAATGACATGAATTTACAATCCTACTTCCCTTCATGAGACACAGATTTACAAGGTCAACACACAAAAACAGAGTGCTTTTGAACGCTGAACACTGAAAAATGGCCTGGCCAGGAAGGGGGTCTAAACACCTGGTCTTGAAGTGGTTAAAGCTAAAAATTGTAAATTGAGCCTTTATTTGTGGATGATAACGTTGGAGAGATCCCAGTTTTATTTTGTCAAGCCATCATAGGCTCAACTTACAAAGCCTTTATACTAGCCTAAGGCACTCTATTTTTAGCCATGAGACTGTAATTTTCAAATTTCATTGAACTCTGAAAATAACTTTTTTGAAAATAAGGATACTTATTAGGGATTCACCGATTTTCGGTGTCCAGTACGAGTACTGATATTTTGCTTTTGGTACCTGCCGATACTGAGCACCGATACCGGTGCTTTCGCTGGCATGGAGCCTGCTTCCCGGGCAATCAGGAAGCTGGGCGGCATGTTTGCCTGGGAAGCCAGCTCCATGCTGATTGGCTGGGAAACCGGCTTCCCAGCCAATCAGCATGGAGCAGGCTTCCCGTCTCCCCTATTTTCCCCTCTGATGGGAAGTTCTGGTATCGGGAAAGGTATCGGAGCATTTGGGCGAGTACAAGTACTTTTTGTACTCGCAAATTTTTTAAACTGTTAATTGAGCATTTTGTGTGCATATGGTCAGCCTAAAGTGTATTTCTACTTTTGCACTCAGATTTGAGAAAACCCCTCTATATGTTTTGATATGTGTTCTTATTCACACAGCATACCAAAACATAATACATTTTTTTTTTTTTTTTTACCTTTTTACATGTTTTGTTGTAGCAGGCCAAATGGCTGAATCCAAGAAAGACTTAGGACAGGAATGTGTGGCCTGTGTTTCTCTCATTAACTTCCTTAACATATAATGCAGAAGCCAGGGCTGTAATCTTTGAACCTTTTGTTAGGACAGAGTGTTCAAATCGACTTGACAAATCTTAATGAAATGAGCTAGCGCAGTACAGATAGGAATAACGGAAACCGCTCACAGCCCCTCCTAACATTGCAAAGAAGGTGAAGCAAGTAGAACGTTTAACCCTTAAGAAGCCAATAAACCCTAAACCAAGTAAAAGCAATGTAAACTGCAAGCATTTTTTAATTAGTTACTTTAGCTTTAGTTTATGCGATGTGAATGACAACATGTAACAAATATAAAGTAGGTTTTATCCCAATTTGCCAAAGTGTAAATACACTTTAAAGCTGGCTTCTGCGTGCCACTTTTGCCTGCCACGTCTGTTCAGATCATATAGAAATTTCCTCAATTCGCAAAGCTAATCCACCATTATAAGTATTCTTATTTCTTTTTTTTTTAAAGTAAGTTATCTTCACTAAAGATGAACTACACCCTCCTATCCTTTATAGCCAAGGAAGGTGCCATCTTAGCCTCTGTTTAGATGGTACGGCACATGTGATCAACTATGACACCAGCCATTTGAGCGCTTGGAAGTCCGGTTGAAAGCTGACAATTAGCAGCTTGATGTGATAATTATCACCAGAGGCATGCCTTGAATGTAACTTGGGAAATGTTTTGGGAAACCGTTGAAATACTGGGGTTAGTCCCAATTTATGTTCAATGAAATTTAAAAATTTCAGTCATATGGGGAATGATACAATGCCTTAAGCTGATGTTAAAGCTTTTAGAATTAAAGCATTTAGAATCCAGCCTTAGGTGTGTTCCCTTTTTGTATGGCTGTTTTCTCAGGGTTATTTGTTGGGTACAGTTCACTGTACACAGTCTGGGGCTGGCTCCTTCTTTTTTGGGGTCCCCGGATTATTGTATATTACCTTATTTTGGAATTTTTAGTAACCGCATATTTCAGGGGTCCTTTGAACACATGTAAAAAATTGTAACGTAATTGGGCTTTTTCAGTAATGTTGAGATGCAAAGTGCAGTTACTCATAACAGCCAATCATATTTCAAATTGCTGGACTAATTTAAAGCGAAAATAACAACAAACACACCTTTAGAAATGTATAGTTTTCTTTCCCAGGCCTCTGACAATGGCTATGCAGATTACTATACATCTCCATTTACTTCCTGGAACTTTGGCTTATGTGACTAGGACATGTGACCATGCACATCATCTGGGGGGGTGGGGGGATGCCTTTCCCTGAGATCTCAAGATGAGATTTAAGATGAGATTTCCCAGCAATGTTCTGCTGATGTAACCTTCCCTGGATGCAACGCTTTGGCACTTACATCATTTGTGCCAGAACTGGACCAGGAAGTAGATGAAATCCATCTGTAAATAAATGAAAAACAAGTTTGTCTAATACATGTGAGATGATTTTTAAATACAGAGCTGTATGCTGATTTTACATCGGCATACAGAGCTGTATGCTGATGTAATTTTTAGTGAAGAGCTTTAAAGGTCCACTTTAAGGGATGATTTCTGGCTGGTTGTTATTAGTTACAGTGCTCAGTATTGCAGGTCACATGGTCACATCGAATAAAGCCAATTTAATGGTTTATTTTACAGAATAAATGCTACGTTTAGACCGATGCTATACACTTTTACTTTATTTCCTTTGAGAATGTACCTAGCACCACCATGTGGTGAAATGTGGAGAGAAAATGTATCCAGATCTGTTGTAGTTTAAATTATGGCACAACCATTTACTCAGGGAAACCTGGGCCTCTTCTAAATAAACCAGCAAGAATTATTTGACGTAGCAGATATAATGAAATCAATATATTCAATCATACTTCTGAGGAAGAGGTTGATCAACATACATTATGATGTTATATATATATATATATTTGTGTGCTCTGTGATGACCCAAGCATGGCATATAGCTTGCTTACTATCAGAAGTGTGCTAACCCTTTCCATTTCTACTAATTAAAGTGCTTTTCTTGCGATCTTTTCCCCTATTGTATTAAAGTCTAAGAATAAAAGGTTTGACTGAATTTCTATATAAAATCTCGTGTATAATTTCACTAAGCTTATACATTCCAATGATCAGACACATAATGGTCCATGATGCCAAATAGTGTGCTGTCTGGTGAGTCGTATCATGATTAACAGAGGCTGTACAGTGGGGCATATACAATGTTGTATTGCTACATTGTTTCTTTTTTTATTTTCTTCATAGGAAACCGACCCTACATCTTTCTCACTTCCAGAGTTCATCCTGGGGAGACCAATGCCAGTTGGGTTATGAAAGGGACCCTGGAGTTTCTTATGGGCAACAGTGTGACTGCACAGAACCTGCGGGAATCCTATATTTTTAAAATTGTTCCAATGCTAAACCCTGATGGAGTGATCAATGGAAAGTAAGAACCAATGTTTATTTTGCGTAGCACTACAGTCCTTTTTATTGTAACGTTTTGTATTAACATTGCTACAGCTTCTTATTTTGTTTTTGTTTTTTATTTTGTTTAACATGGAATTTATAGTATTATAACATGGGGTTTATAGTACCTGGGTATGTTCTGTTATAAAATACTACTAACTTGTAGAATATATTTAATTAGTAAATAGTGATAAATGAACTGAGCAAAATTTTTGTTTGCTGGACGTTGGTTGAACCCAGTGGGAAATCCACAAACCCCGAACATAGCCCCTTACGTAAGTAAGGGTTTATATAGAGCAGTGTTTTTCAACCACTGTGCCGCGGCACACTAGTGTGCCGTGAGATGTTTTCTGGTGTGCTGTCAATAAATCGTTAATTTCCTTTATCGATCAAAATTATTTTGATCGATCAAAGTTACTCACCTCTCCGCCGGCTTCCGGGTCTTCCGTCGGAGATCCGGTGACGTCACGGACATCGACGTCACCGGACTCCTCCCCCCTTCCCCGAGTGGCTCTGTCGGCTACGAAGGGAAGGGGGGAGGAGTCGGGTGATGTAGTTGTCCGTGATGGGTAACGAAGGGAAGGAGGGAGGAGTCCGGTGACGTCACGGACATAGACTCCTCCCCCTTCCCTTCGTTACCTGACGGAATCACTTGGGCTGAGTCTCCTCCTCACTCTTGGGCCGGTGAGTCATCGCATGTGTGTACAAGGCAAAATCTGCTACCCTGGTGAGACCCCACAAAGCCATGGGGCTTTTGGGGTTGTGTGGTAACGCTGGGTGTGCCATGAAGGAGTTAATTTTTTTTTAACATTTTCTAATGGTGGTGTGCCTCGTGATTTTTTTCATGAAAAAAGTGTGCCTTTGCACAAAAAAGGTTGAAAAACACTGATATAGATGACTTTATTTGTTGGGTGAATTGAGAGTGTATTTTATCAATGTACAGTATATAACATTTATTTGGAACAGGAGTAGTTCTGTGTTTATTTAGATTTCATAACCCCCATTAACAAATCAGGTTTGAATGTACTAATCAGTGGAAGATGAATTCTGATTGCTCACTAAGGGTATCTAGACCAGCCTCTCTCAACCAGAGTTCCTTGGCACCCTGGGGTTCCTTTTGCTTTCCTGAGGGGTGCATTAAAATTTTTGCATAGCGTAATGCCTTTCTATGGTGCAGGACGGCTTTTGATGTGAAGGGGAGCTCTTGATGTGAAGATGGAATTCTGATGTAAATGTGGGGCTTTGTTGTGAAAGAGGGGGACTCTGATGTGAAGAAGGTTCTTGATATGAAGGAAGGCTTCTGATATGAAGGGAGGCCTGTAATGTAAAGGGGGCTCCAAGTGTGAGAGGGGAGACTCTGATGTGAAAGTAGGGGGCTCCTAATGTAGAGGGTGACTTAGATGTAAAAGGGGGATTGTGATGTGAAAGGGGGGCTCTGACGTGGAAGGCGCTCATTTACATTTTAAACTGGGGTGCTTCGAGATTATGCATACTTTTAAAGGGTGCTATTACTGAAAAAAGACTGAGAAATGCTGATCTACACTGTACTGTTGTCTTATTATAACAAAAGATCTATGGACTTGCTCATCGTATCTGATATTTGGCGCTAATTTGTTTAGGAATGAAAATGTATTGCTATAAATGGCTCTGAACCCTTAAATATATGTTCATTTTTTAAAATGATTTTGTGTTGATTTGTACCTTTCTTCCTTTTTCCCCAACAGTCATCGTTGTTCTTTAAGTGGGGAGGATCTGAACAGGCAGTGGCAAGATCCTAATTTGGATTTGCACCCTACAATTTACCACACCAAAGGCCTTCTACAGTATTTGGCATCAATCAAACGAGCACCCATAGTAAGTTATAGGGTGCAGTATAGTACATGTAACATTGTAGACAAACTGGAGTGCAGATAGTTCTTGTACGAGAAGACCTCAGCCCCCTATTTAGAAAAGGATCAGTTTGTTAAAAGGAGCCATCAGTTTGTACACATTATCCCCAGGTAACTTGATTCATCCCAGGTTTCGTAAGAGCCTGTGTCCACAGACTTTTTTGTGCTTTGGTCTTGCACTCCCATACAAATCTATAGGATTGCAAAACCCCTCTCTATAGGTTGAATTCGATGGACTTGTGTCTTTTTTCAACCTGACTAGCTCTTGAAGCAGCTCAGAAAAGTGCAGGTCAGATGCACCTCTCAGTGAATTCTGAATGATCTCAGAAAGGTGCTGATGTCATCAACACAAGCCCAAAGCCTGTCGACAGAAGCCCTAAGGGCATTAGAAGATAGAAATACATACTATCGGGCCCCGAGTATAGTTGGGTGAATGCTGTTCGCACTTGTGGCACTATTGGCACAAGATGGAGCTGAGAAGCATGAGAAATCCTCTGCTCCTCAGCTCCATCTATTGGCAGTAGTGCTATGTGCATAACATTTGCCAAGCTGTACGTTGGGCTAAAGAATCATAAATCAGCCCCTATGTATTTCAGGCAGTGCTTACATGAACATTAAACCAGTATGCTGCCACAGTGTATAAATAATGTGAGGTGTTTTAAAGTTCTGTATGCTATAAAAGATCATTCTGCTTGTACATAGTGATTTTCTTGGTAGGCTTTACTCGCTAATACTTCGGACTAAAAAAAAAATAAAAAATTGAGAGTATATCCTGAGTCTACATAAGCCTTTGAAAGAACTGTTCAATTACCACCATTTTAGTTAGCATTTCTCTCATTTACCACAAGAAGTGAAAATCCCATAAAAATCAAGCCTATTATTAGGTATGCTGTACAATAGAGATTGTTTCATGTAATTTATGAATGATGTTAATATACTTTAGTCAATTTGTTAACTGCATTTCTTGTACTGTACTCTTTTTAGGTTTACTGTGATTACCATGGGCACTCTCGTAAGAAAAATGTCTTCATGTATGGCTGCAGTATTAAGGAGACGGTGTGGCATACAAATGCTAGCGCCGCTTCTTGTGACATGGCGGAAGACAATGGCTATAGGGTGAGTACATACATCTAATACGATGCTGGACTTGGCTAAAAACGTACAGTTGTTCAAAAAAGCAACCTGTTCACCCACACCTTCCACCCATAAATATGTTTCTCTAAACTTTTGACACTGAATTTTAACCACTTACTGACCGGGGTATTAAACCCCCTTCCTGCCCAGGCCATTTTTCAGTATTTAGCGCTGCAGTAATTTGACTGACATTTATTCCGTCATACAACGCTGTACTGAAATTAATTTTATACAATTTTTTGGGGACACATAGAGCTTTCTTTTGGTGGCATTTAATCACCACTGAGGTTTTTATTTTTTACTATATAATGAAAAAAGTTCCGACAATTTTGAAAGAAAAACCTGTTTTCCCTACGTTATGTTATAAAACATTTTATTATTACCCAATTTTCTTGTAAAATATAAAAGGCAGGGTCACGTCGGATAAATAGACACCAAACATGTCAAACTTTAAAATTGCGCACGCCTGCGAAATCGCAAAAAACTACCATGCCTAAAATTGACCATAGGCGACGCTTTAAAAGCTTTTACCGCTCATCAGTTTAATGTTATCAGTGATTAATGGGCCTAAAATTATTGCTCTCACTCCCACGTTCGCGACGATGTAACACTTGTGACATAATTCTTGTTTTCGCACATAGGTGCATTCAACGCGTTTTTAGGTTTATTTGTGCATGCACAGGGGGCAGGGTACTTTTTTTGGTGTTTTTTTTTTCTACATGAGACTTCCATTTTTTTTTTAATACTTCTTTTTTTTTTTTTTACACTTAACTTTATTGCTATTACATAGGAGGCTAACAAGCTGTTTAGTGTCAACAAGGGGAAGCATGCTGTTTAGTATCGTACAAGTGATCGGTTGGCTATAGAGCCGACCGAACGCTTGTATGTAACAGCTGCTACTGGCTGTTTACATACACAGTGGGATTCTGCTCATGCGCGCCTGCAGAAAAAAAATCACACATATGTACGTCCACCTGCTGGGAAGAGTCCGCTGTCTGCCCGTGTATTTACAATGGACGGACGGCAAGATGTTAATTCAGTACTTTGGGTTACAGAACATGATTGCAATTTGGTCCTTTAAAATGACTAACTGTGCACTGGTACATAGCATCCCATCAAACTAAAATGTTAATTTTACCAATTGTTTCACACTGAAGCTTGAATTTGATTGGTTGCTTTGATACCCAGAGAGTTAGTTAAGATTGTTCTCCTTATCCATACCTTTGGCATATAATTGAGAAACCTACCTATAAACTTGTCTTTCCATTGAGCCTTTTAATCCATTAACCTTTTTGCTGTCAATATTCTAATACTCTTTCGGAGGTTAGCCTACTGTAGACCTGTGGACATTATGGCACTATAAATGGATGTAGTGTTCCTCTGTACTCATAATACTCACTATATTTCATTGAGTATTCATTCATTGTTTGTTCAGTCTTGTTTTGAATGCAACAAACTATTACAGCCGAAAGAACATTCTTTGTCTGGTTTGGCTAAATATTGATGCCAGACATGTGCACAAAGAACTGTTAGGCACCTCTAGAGGAAATTCAAGATGTAAAGGCACTTAAATATATTCTGCAGCTAGGAATTCATATGTAGAAAATATTAACCATTAACAATTGGGTTTATAAATGCTCACTCCTAAATTTTTTATAAAAATTCAATTTTTGTTGCCCCTTATTAGCCAGAGTAAGAGAGTCATGGTTCCTCTGAGATCTGTCAGATTGTGCCCTGCAATTTCTCTGTTGTCTACTAGTTTGTAAGTAACAATTACATCCAACACATGTCTGTGAAGGTTCTCATTCATCCAGGTCATTGTATATCTGTAAAGAATAAGTCAAGGCAACTGGACTTGCTGTATTTTTCTTAAAGACGTTTCCCTGGACATCCGACCAGCTTTCTCAATTCAGAATTCTGAATTGAGAAAGCTGGTTGGACGACCAGTGAAACGTCTTCAAGAATAATACAGCAAGACCAGTTGCCTTGACTTATTTTTTACAGATATATCCAATACATTGCCGTTTAGTTGTTTAAAGCCCAACTTTGGTCTCCCCACTTGCCCAGCTTGTATTTTATTCTCTCTTGCTATAATTACTTTTACAAGTTGTCTTTGGGTTGGTCATGTGACACGGGGTCAGCTTCCTCTTTCCCTGTTCTCTGTCTCTGGACAGTCTTCAATAATGTAGAGAGTGGCATTGACTACTTCATGTCAAGGCCACTCCACTCATTACTGTATGTGAGTAGTAGGCACTGTTGTGATGGGGTGGGTCCTTCACTACTTGCACTCACAGGATGTCCTCAGGCTTGTCGGTTGAATAGTAATTTGTTCTCTTTGACAAAAAACTGTTGGCCATGATGATGTCCATTAAGATGGATGCTTTTTTGACCTGCACTGCATGATTGTTTCTGAAGCCTGGATGCTGTTGACAACAGCTCCATTTTTCTTTCTTTCTTTCTTTCTTTCACTATCTAGGATATTGCTTGCATATGTCACAGCAGAGGTTAGTTTACTATGGGTACATTTCTTATTTGCTGCCTGATTAAAAATGTGCTGCAGTTTGTCATTTACTTCTGGACTTTATTAAACATTGTGTACATTTGAAAAACATTCTGACAAAAAAAACAGAAAACGTAATACCTGTATTTGAAAATGCTTAAATGCCCAAATTTGCATTCTTGACCTTCTTGATTCATTCTGCTTTTCTAGACCCTCCCTAAAGTTCTAAGCCAGATTGCTCCAGCATTTTGCATGAGCAGCTGTAGTTTTGTGGTTGAGAAGTCCAAGGAATCTACGGCCCGTGTAGTGGTGTGGAGAGAGCTGGGTGTCCAGAGAAGTTACACAATGGAAAGCACACTGTGTGGTTGTGACCAGGGGAAGTACAAGGTAAGGGTTAGTATGAGTAGTGTGAATAGAAGTGTTATTAGCTGACCTGATTGGCTATTGTATCTTTCACTACAGTGCCTGGAATTAGGGCCTAATGTATAACATTTGCATGACAGGAGGCTTATTTGTAAAAGTGAAAAAAAAAAATGCAGGGTAAAAGAAAATCAAAATAATAGATGCCCCCAGGTTTCAGCAAACCCATCAGCTGATGACACCTAACCTTGTTCTGTTAAAATCATGCACTCGCCCAAACATTATCAATGTCATTCAAAATGTTTAAGATCGTAGACCTGTGTGTAGTTACGGCAATTTGTGTCTACACAAACCCTGTTCTATCTTACCTTAATTTTTCAAACAAACAACATTACACAAACAGATCCTTTGTATTTGTGTATATTGTGATGTAACATTGAAAGGAGCAAAAAGCCCTCCTAAATTGGAAGGTTTTTGCCTTTATCACTTTGCTGTGTTACATTAATTTTGGTACATGTGGTATCTTGATACACAGAATATGTTATTTCTAAATAATACCTAAAAATACCCCAAAAAATAAAACAAATAAAAAATATATGCATTCGGATCTGCTGTATGTGTCTAATAAATAATATGAAAAGTAAATTCAAAATCTTAAAACAGAATACATTTCCAGTACATGATATTCCAATGTGAGGTTGGTAGACAACCAACCTCACATTGGAATATCATGTATAGGAAATGTATTCTGTTTTAAGATTTTGAATTTACTTCTCGTGTTATTTTTTAGACACATATGAGGTTGGGTTCACACCAAGGGAACAGTATTTTTGCTTGTGACTGAGCATGTTTTTGCGCCGTTTTTCTTTTGTGTATGTGTTTTATGGGCTTAAATCAAGTCACGCGATTTGCTGAGCTGATTGTGACACATTTAATGTGCAAAAAAAGCACAAAAAACACAGCAAACTTGCATTTTTGGGCATTTTCATTGAAGTCTATTTGGCTAAGAAGCGCTTAATCTGCCAAAAAGAAGCTCATGTACTTTTTCCAGCGAAGGGCATTTTCTACAAGCGACAAAACTCTCAGATGTCAACATGGCCGTAGAAATCAATGGGATTTTGTTTTGGGCATATTTTTTAAAGCGTTTTTTAGGGCAGAAGCGCTAGGTGTGAACCAGGACTAAAGGATTTAACAAGAGAGTAACCATGTAACTGGTGGCTACCTTTCAGCTCATGCTTAGTCATTGTTTGTTTTATACTTATGAAGTCATTAATTAGACGAAAGTATGTTAATTTGGGAAAAATTCTTCCCTAGAGAAAACTAAAGGAGAACTATGAGGTGAGTGAAAATCAATCATCGCCATAGTTCGAGCCGACCTGTGACAATGGAACTGTCACACGTCGGCTCAATAGATCGGGCAGTGAGAGAACACTTCACTTCTCAAACATCTCCCTGCAGAGTGCCGGGACTGTCAGTCACGGCTCCCTGCAGGAATTCCCCCCCCCCCCCCACTCCCCGCTCTGATCCTCCATCGCTTACTGGCGGAACCAGTAAGCGCTTACTGGCGGATGGGGGAGCGAGCGTGCACAGCTGGCTCTGCCTCTAGATATGCAGAGCCAGCTGTCAATCACGTATCTGGGTGGATCTCGACAGTAATGTCAGGATCCGTCCCGGCTGTGGTGGTCTGAGTATACTGCGAGCTGTAGTTCGCGATATATACTGAGCTTTGGGTCACAGGAGGAGGCTAGTATATGTCCTCCCGTGACCCTTAAGAGAACTATGGGGAAAAAACACTTACCCCATAGTTTTCTTTTAAGCATAAATTTGTTGTTTTGGGAAGATTTATTAAGCACTATGTGTGTTGTTTAGAAGTACCAGTGTATTGCATTGCACTGGGCTTCCGTCAAAATTTATTTGGCTTTCCCAGTGTAAACATTTTCTTTCATTTGTTATATCCACCAGTATATAAATATTGGGTAGTGCCAATCTAGAAATGGCTGACAAGGACTGAAGAATGCTGAATGTTAAAGGTAGAATATGAAGGTGGAGCTTCTCGATCGTTCTACCTAAAGGCCCTAAATATGCAGTGTGGCAAGCAGCAGTTCAGCTAGGCACTTGAAAGCTGTTGCAAAAAAGAATCGTGAACTTTGATTTGGAGGCATTTAAAGTCTCTTCCTCAAGAATGCCTGATGAAGACACTTGAGCATTCTTGAAACCTTACAATTGTAATCTTTTTTTACTGTTAAAAGATATCTCTTATTTTCAAATTTTTCTGGATCTGTTGAAGATGAACATTTTAAAACTCTTGGCTGCAATCAATAGAATATGTAGACAGGTTATTCTGAAAACCTACCACTAGAGGGCCCTAGTTATTTGCTTTCTTATGAAGTGTGCTTTAAGTGTTGTATACTGAATTTTTATTTTGTTTGGGGTTTGTGCTTTTTACTTAGTTTTTTTTCCCCCAGTTAAGTATTTACCTGTCAAAGAGCTTTTAGTCTAAGGCCCCTGTGACGATCATTCCGACATAAATTCACTTTCTAGACCAGAATTTTTAGTTTTAATGCAGGTTATGTTTAGTGGCTTATTTTGACTCCTTTTACTTTTTATGGACTGCTCTCTTTTTTTATGGAAATAGTAGAAGCCCCCTGTTGACAATATGAGCCAGTACATTATTGCAGCATCTCCGATAAACACAGGTTTATGTTACACATTGTATACAACGACTGTATATCCTTGTGATCGCTAAGTGGTTTCAGATGTGACAGAGATAAATTATTCTCCTGCTAGTGAATTGGTTCCTAGATGATCCTTGGTGCAGTCATCTGATTGATTTACCCTCATTGTGTTCTGAAACCAAGCCTCATAAATTATGATTAAGTTGTCTTTGACCACAGGTTCAGTCTGCTACATCACAACACCCAGTACATTCAGTGTTTTGTTGTTATGAAAATGTATACCTAGGACAATAAGCCTATACAGGATATACATAGAATGTTTCACCTATTTGTAAATGTTCGTAGTTATTTTCTTTGGTAGTGTTTGAACAGTTAATCTTTTATTATCGTTGAATACATTCACATGCCTGCATACATATTTGACATAAAGTGTAACTTCCTCTTCCTTTTTCATAAACTTCACATTGAAAAGAAAGCAGTGAGAACTCTTCTATATAAATTTTGATTTTAAATCGTCTAGAAAACCTCTTTTCTTTTTTTTTTTTCTTTTTTTTTAAATTAGGACAACTCTTTAACCATTTGGCTGCCAGAAACATTTTTGATTTTTCCATGCATGTTAAAATGCACATTTAAGGCCTGAAGATTAGTTAAACTCCAAAACCATTATATTTTATGAAAACAGAGGCCATGGAAAATAAAATGGTGGCAGTTTTATTTTTATTATCACACAATATTTGCACAACAATTTACCAAACCCAATTTGTTTGGTAAAAAAATGCATTCAAATTCATTTTAGTGCACCCAAACGCATTGTAATACCTATTTTTTTGTGGGGGGAGGGGGATATAAAATTGCACGCATGCATGACAAACTTCGGTACTCCATATTGTCCATAAAATATGCTGTAAAAGATCATTTGTGCGCAATAAGGGCAACGTGTCGCAGTC